CTCAGGAAAAGAGAGGTAAACTAATGTCCATTTTCCCAAGGGGACCCACAAGCATCCAGGCAGCTCTCTCAGCCTTGCTGCAAAGCGTGTGTTCACACTCTGCCTTCTTCTTCTCACTAACTAAGAGAGATAGAGCAAGCACATTCTCTTGGCACTAAAAAATTAGTCTGATAAGTCTGATTAGTCTGATAAGTCTCCATATTTACTAAGAATTAAATCCCCAAAAAAGAACTCTGCTATCTGGCATACAGTAAGATGTGAAATATCAATGAAAGTTGAAGAAATATGAAGGAAACTCCCTTTGCTTTCTGCAAAGGCAGGGTCAGATAATGTGTAAGAAGGAGGGAAAGGGTATGTATTGATTGTTTCAAGAAAAAAATATCTGGTATTCTTGCCCAGAGGCTCAGATCCAGCCATTCTGAACTGAAAGTAGCCCATATCACATACCAGCTTCTCTACCACCAACAGCTTCCATCAACAAAATAAGTGTTCTTAAATTACATCTCTATTTTACAGTGATCCTAAAAGGATATGGCACACAATGAAAAATGCAGCTGTCAAGATCAACTTCCTCACTCCCTGCTACTAATGTGATGCCTCTTTTACTTGTTCATGTGCTCGAAAACAACTGCAAAAAGCTCCATATCCTAATGCTGAGCAAGGCATGAGGAAAGGCCCAACCATCAGGTGTAGTCACGATCTCTCAAGGTTCTTCACTTGTCCTGTTCACTGCCACTTCCTTTGTATCTCTGCATCTGTTTCTTTTTTTTTTATCCTTCCTTTTTGTTTTTAAATCTCCACTTTTCTTTATGTGCAAAGTCACTTCTAGTATTGAGTGACATCTCCATCTCCAAAGCCCTCTGATGGACATTTTTCCTTCATGAAGCAAAGGGGCTCAAGTGGCCAATACGCTGCACTTCTTTTTGGAGAAGGAAGAACTCACAGCTCCRAGTGGGCACCGAGACAAAAGAAGCAAAGAACAAAATAGTCACCAACTGTTGTTTTGGCTTTGGAAAAAAACATATAACTCATGAAAAGYTCGGTTCTCCTTCCTGACACATCTTTCTCCTCGATGGTACAATGTTCTTTTGTGGATAGAATACTTGTTTTTATTAAAGAAGTTACAGTTTATCATATACGTTCTTTACCATTCCTGTTCATAAAAGAATGATTTTCTGGATCTCTCTTCTGATATAGGGAAGAAAAAGTGTCCAAAATTAAGTATTAGTCAACAATAAGCATTTAATGTAGTACATTTCTGAAATATCATAACAAATTTAAAAATATGCTCCTTGTTAGGGCCCAGCCCAAAATCCAATAATCTTTGTGGAAAAATTTCAATCAGATTTGATCAGCCCTCATGAATATAAATATTAGTTCTGACTGAAGGTTGAGATTTCAAACCGATGTAACCTGGGGCTTCGTTTAGCTGTTTCACAYGCAGGCATCAGCAGCATCAATGGGAATTACTCATGTGCAGGCGTGGACATAAAGCTAGTACACTATCTACGTCAAGTCCTCGGTTTATTTATTAAATATCTATGTGAACATATCCAGCATACCGTAAGTCAAGCCAATTGATTTTCTTCCCAAATAACAAATTGCAAGCAACAGGATGCCAAGTATTCCGAAGGATGCTACAGCAAAAACAAGACCCAAAACGCAAGCTGAAACCTCAAAGCAGACTCAGTCTTGTGATTATTCTGCCCAAAGTGCTGTCTAGCTCTCCCCATCCCCTTTCTTTTCAGTTCATGGTTGTATTCCTTCCCTTACACTTACCAATCTTCTGAACAACCCAGTAACTACAATCCAGATTTGTAAGCTGTCCMTAAGTCCTCCCATTTTGGTCTATTTCTGCCCTTATCATCTTTGCTATATTGCACTTTTATTACTCTTTCTCCTAGGATTAAAGGACGGATCAGTCTTAGTCTCAATAGTCCACAGGTTGTTTTATATCATAGTAGAGCATTCCATGTCCAGGGCTTAAAAGAAGAAAAGAAAAATGCTGYTGCTTCCTAAACTCCTAGATGCATTAACATTAGAGCGATATGAAACTGAGGGGCTGGAGWGATTTATACTGTCATCACCATACAACGTGTTACACAGTGTAAGTGGTTGCCTGCTCCCACGGATAGTACATAGCACTGGAATCCAGAAGCTTTATCTCACCCTGATGCTAACATCCAGTTCAACCTGTGGCAAATTTTACAGCTTCATCCTAGACCTCCTGAAGTCACTTGCAAAGGTCCTTGTGACGTAACAGTAGCAGATCCTGCTTATTTCTTCTTCTTTTGTTGCAAGGTTTCTCCACCATGAATATGTGTGAAGTATTTCAAAAATTTACAGCACTATAGTTGTCATTCCATAATTCTTTCTCACGCCTAGTAATTTTTACTTGTGGGACTAGACCCACTGGCTCCATATTGTCATCATCATTTGTAGTGATTCTAGTATTATTTRTAACTCATCTAGTTTTMTGGCATATTTTTGTTATTTTTAAAAGCAGAACATTCTTAGCAGCATATTTTACATATTGAATGGATGCATGATATAATTAAGCAAAGTAATGGGATTAGGAAATACAAAAAAAAGCTCTTATTATATCCAAAATCTGATTGCTCACAGTTATTCTCAAGTTAAATTTATTATTCAGAGCACCATCAMAGATCAGTTCTGGTATTTTGGTTTTTTTTTTTTTTTTTAAATGAGTCTAAGGCAGGACTCATTCTTTGTTTTAGAGTCTTACCATATGAGTATCAAAAAGAAGGAGCAAACTCATACCTCTGTATGATGTGCAGGGGAACTGAGGTGAGACTCACAGGTGAATGTCAATTCTCCAAACACCCTGCAGAGTTTATTTTTATTATTATTTTCTCCATCAAACACAGATCTACAAATTGTGGCCCAAACTGCATCTATATCAAGGAAATTTTACCAGTCTTGTAATATTCAGGTTTGAAGATCTGTTGAGGACCTGGATCCTCAATGAAAAGAAAAAGAAAGTTGCATCTGAATTCACAGATGGGTTGGGCCAAAGTTGACAAAGATTAATTTTAGGACTGAGTGGCCCAATTCCATTTCCTTCATTATCCTAAGAATTGGGATTGCTATTCCTTTTATCTGCACACTTGGCAAGACTGTCATATATTCTGTGGCTTTGTTACTACCAAATAAATCATATGTCTTTGTCTATGAAAGGACCTTAGAAGGCATGACAAGGTTGACTAGGTATTCCAAAGGTTAGATGCCTTCCACGCAGTCATGTGTAGAGATGTCTTACAGGATGGGAAATGGAAATCCTTTCTTTTGAAAGTTTGGCACAGAAAACATCAGGAAGATGGAAAAGCTCCAAGTTTTGTGAGAACTTCACAGTCCAAAAAATCAAACCAAACATGGAGCTAGTATTGAAAGAGCTAATGTGTCTCCAATTAACAGGCAGACTTTGAATGGTCCTGCATTCTAAATCAGGCATTTTTAAAGCTTGTGTTTCTGACACAGAATGGATTATCCTGACTAAATCCCTCTTCTTTTCCATCCCCAAAGGAGCAGTAATGAGATAAAAGCTGCTACAAGTGCCACCTACAAAGGAAAGGAAAGTTACTAACATACTTGCACTGCCTGGGCTTCTTTGGAACAAGGTTAAGTGAAAAATTTCTAGCATCCTCAGCACACTTGCAGAGCAGGAACAGATGCTCTGTTCTCATATCCATAAATCCATCAGTGTGACAATACGAYATTTCCAGGATCAGTTATATTTCATTGATTATATACAGTTTAGACAATCTTAATGATTGTTTGATACAACTCAGGCTTTGGCCTTTTAAACAATGTTCTCTTTTGTTAAATATGGAACATGGTATTGGTATTTCTCTTTATTTTACCTAMCACCAGCTGTCTAAAATCAATCAGCAATTATAAGCTACTCACCTCAGACTCTACGTATTTTGTGATATATCAGGAAATGTGCTATGAAGCACCTCCACAACACAATTCATTCCACCCTACACAGATGGGATGAATCACCACTTCAGAGTATTTCTCTCTCTGTTTCTCCCCATTGATGATAGATCAAGACCCGGATGGCTTCCCTTAGACTCAATGCTTAGCTTCTAGATTGCTTAAGTTAATTGAGACAAATCCCACTCAAACATAYTCATATTCAACAGTAAATTCTGTATCTCCCACCATCTAAATTATTTTAGTCATCATGTGCCTTACTCACAGCCTTTTGCTGTTTTGTTCTAAWAGCTGATTTATGGAGTAAACAGTCTTTCCTAGAAGGGAAGAAGAAAACGCTTCTTGCCTTTTTAACTTTGCTTTTGCTCACCAAGTGCATCCTGCACTATGGCAAGGTGTGGATGTGGTGAACTCTGTGTGTGTAGGAGATGCAAGTGAATAGGAGATAATTTTCAAATGCTGCCTGGCAAGCAGTTGGTCAATGAGCTGTCAGGAGAACACAGGAACTACCCAGCTTTGCAGCCAGAGCTGGAGAGGTTGGTGGAAGAGTGCACTAGAAAGCCAGCACTTTCCTGAGAGCATAAAGGAAGGAGATATCCAAACCTGACAGGTCTGATTCGCTCACAGACCTCTGAAAACCCTAGTGCTGGATTTTAAAGATTCACCTACTGAAATTCCTGGTGACTCAACATGACTAAGTCCAATTAAGAGCTGAATCAAGGTCTCCAAATTTGTCCCATGAAGCTCTTTATCTGAAGATTTCAAAGTGCATTACAAAGACTCAAAGTGCTAATGAGTACAATAATCCAATGATGATATCAGTTCCAGCATGACCCACTTCCCATGTGATCTTGGGTAAGTCCATACACAGACAGACGTTTTACAGATATTTAGAAGCCACACAGGGATTTTGAGTTGAAATATAATAAAGATTGCAAGACATCTTGATAATCTCTGAGGAATTCTATAAACTAGTAGTAAAATTTTATAGAAAGAGCATTCCACTAACTATTGCACTCCAGGGGCATTCCTATAATACATACCTGCRTTACCGGAATACTTAGTTCTGGAATATAAACAGGGCTTCGGTTTTCAGCTAGATCTATTGTCTGAACCATGTAGTCCTAAATTCACAATTTTGCCATCATCTTCTTGCCTGTTTCAGAAAAAAAAAAAAGACATAAAGCTTAACAGAAAAATATTACACCTTTTAACCCTTCCTTGGTGGAGCTGTAAAACACAGGCATTAATATCACACAAAGTAATCGTAYAGTTTTTAGGACTCAGGACTTTAGGACTTTTAGACTGATTACAGTCTGAGAATACACTACTGTATCAATCCTACAAAATAATAAAGAATTTCTTAAAAGCAGTGATTTAGGAGCACCTAAGTATGTTCAGTGGCATTGCTGTTGCTGTCACTGTGAACACATCAGGGCCTCAAACAGAACCCACTGACATCAACAGAAGGACATCCATAAGCACCAGCCATCCTGGATTAATCCCTCATACAATCCTTCATTTCAAAATACGATATGGCAAAACACATTTAAGAAAATTATTTCACTGGCAGCAAACAGTAGGTTCTATGTATTTCTTTTGATAAAGAATACATGCTATCGTATTATAAAACTAGGGAACATGTCAAACTCTTGGACAATACCTAAACTGTACGAGATATGCTTAAAGCCTCCTAATCACACAAGAGTACACCAAAAACGTCAGCAGCTGCGTGCTGCAGTAGGATGTCAGTGCAGCAAGCAGGGATCGAGATCCTACAGCTCCACGTACCATGCAGAAACATCCAGATGACCCTGAGGCAGTCCCAGGAAATCCTGGCCCCGCATGTTGCATCCTGCTCTTGCTGGTTTAAGAGGTATTCCCGTGTTAGCAACCACAGTGCTTGGGAGGCAGGAGTGGAGGGAATGGGTTTGAAAATAGTGGATAGGAGCCACAACTTGCTACTCGTGTTTACGTCATTCCATTTTCCAACTGGAGCCAGAGGGACCAGGCAAAGAGCGGTCGCTAGCACTGAGGTAATGAATTACTTTTCCTTAAAAAAGCTGCTTCCTGAAAATAGTGCTTTGGTGAGGACATGCAAAGGGAAAGCTCGTAGCTTTTGACTAGGTTTGCCCTGTGCTGTGGCTAAGCTGAGCACTGCAGKCCCGTAGGCTGCCATCCAGCTGCATTCACCAGCAATTCATTCACTAAAAAATGCAGAAAAGGAAACAGGAAAAAACTATATGAGGTTTCCATGGCCACCAGACCGTATACTTTCTTTCTGACTGTTATCACGAATTTCAACACTTGCTGGTTTGCCACCCAAACAAGCAACAGATGTCAGAAATCATGCTTGTTTTTAGTGAGCTTTCATTCCACATGCTTCACTGCGGAAGATACTGTCTTTAAGCTCAAGCAAGTGACACACTTTCATCTGTGCAATAAAATACAAAGCAGAGACAAACAGACTTCTGAACTCTGGCCTTACATCTCTTCTGCTTCTGCGGTTCACATTTCCCAATCATGTTAAACTTCTAAGGTTCGTGTCCTTTCATGGAAGGTTGTTGGTAATACATGTTAAGGGTAGCAGTATAAGGTTTTCTGAAGGACATTAAAAAGATCAGAATGAGAAACAGAAGTGAGCTGTGGCAGGATCAGAAGACCAAACAGGCCCGCATTCTTTTTATGGGGAAAAAAGTGTATGAATTCTATGTGAAGACACAAAGGTAGTGAGAAGTTTCCTCTAGCAAACATATGCTGCAGAAATTGCACAAACTTTAATGTTCTTGAAGAATGAAGAGAGGACCAGGTAATTAGCTCCTCATCAGTGATGCTCTACTATATAGCAGACCAGACCCTGCATCCATTGCTGATATATTCAAGAGTGTCAGGTGGAAGTGCAAGCGGTTCTGCACTCCCCCACGTGCCTGGCCAGCTTATCACTGCGATCCAGCCAACATAAAACACACTGCTTCAAAGGAAAAACTCTCAAAATTTCCACTAACTACTACTTTGCTTTCCTATTCTTCTCTTTCTGTCCTAATTCCCTATTCCTGCCCCMACACTCTGGTCTGCTTCTTGGAGCAGTATCTGGATTTTCCATAGTGCTACACAGCCTTCTTCTCTCACTTCCCTCTTTTAGACCAGTTTATTTCTCTAATGTACAYCCATCCTTTACAAGCTTTTGGATTAAAAAACTTCTATGAGGAATTCCACATCTCCGCCCAAATTGCAGTCTAAAGACTTCCCTGCTTCCCTAGGATCTCAGAGCTATCTATCTGATTTACTGTTCTTGTAACTCTGACACTTTTGCCAAAGTATAATGAACTCAAAAACCCAAAGTTTCCCTGCCCATCTTTGCTGGCAGAATGAACAGGCTATTCAATAGTTAATAACAAGATTTTCCCTCTATCCTCTTAACACTTGGTCTGAAACCACAACAAGCTCTGAGTCACTGTACAGTTGATTTGAGCTTAACCCTAATAGCTCTGTTATGCCTTGGCTTATTCTTAAATCTTCTTGGAAGCAGGAAAGCATCAACAATAAACTTCTAAGGCTTAGCACTCCAACATCAGGTAAAGGGGTTTATCACAATTAAAAATATCCACTACCTCATGGCGCTGTAAAGTAATGCTGGAGCAAAAGCATGTGCCTGCTGGTATATGCCTGAAGAGGTTCTGGGAATTAATTCGACTCTGCAGAACTATTCCAGTTATTCATGTGACTCAGCGGCTGAGCCCGGGATCTTCCTGCTCACATGCTGACGTGCTGATTCAGGCTGCTTCAGCAGCGCTGGACCCGAGAGACACCTTATCAAAAGAAAAGCCCTTCTGGGCTCTCCCAGAAGATGGGAAGGAAATTTCCACTGCRCTGTCCATGCTAGTCAGGGCAAGAACAACAAGCTCTTGTCAGGTYGCAGTGATTTTCTTAAGAAAGGGATCACTATTTTCAACCAATAAATACGTCTTGGCGTCACCACGCTGGGACGTCTGCCCARGGTGCTCGCAGGGTTAAACACTAGCACTGTGACAAAGGAAAACTCTGCACTTTTGCTTTCGGTCMTACTTCACAGGATTTCACTCACACTTGATATTCCAGTTTTAGTTACATATATTTTATTCATAAATGTTAYAGAAAGGACTAATACCTGGCTAACGCTTACTATAAGCGTGTTGCAGATGGAAATAGCACATTGTAAGTATTTATCAGCACCCCCTTAGACTTATTTAGCTCTTTAAGTACTGGCTGATTATTAAGACATTTACAATGCATTAACCCTTTAGAAACCATTATAAACCTTCACAAACCATTTACAAATATTRTCTTGACCTGCTGGGCCCTCATTAACCCCATTAGACACAGAAGAGAGACACTCTCTGATGAAACGTGGGCATCTAGGATGCAGCTTTACCTCGGAGCTGCTCCCTCCACGCTSCCTCTGGGGATAACATAGCCCAGTGCATACGCTGACATTTCCCAACATAGACATTCAAGTCAGGTCTATCGATGGCAGCCAATGCATTTCAAGTAAGCTGCACAAGGCCTTATTAAACAAATTGTAGCAGGTCCTGAATAACTCCTAATTCCTGCAGCTGCCTCGTAACCACATAATCACAGTCCTGCAAGCTCTGCTGAAGCTGCGACTGTGCTTAATCAATAGCCTTACACCTCCCAGCTCCAGAAAAACAGGCTCCCTTGAGTAGCACACACTACGTAGAGCTTTTATAGGAGCAGCCAGGGTAGTCAATATTTCAGCCACTTRAATACACGAGTATTCAGAAGTACCTGGTTAAGTGCTCGTGTTACATCTCACGCTGGGTAGCATGGTCTCATGGCTCGGGCTGGCGTTAAAAATAGCAAGGCCCAAGTACAAGAGCTAAGTATTGTTTCCTGCACTTACTGTTCCTGGGCAGCCTCCCTCTCCTCAGCCCCAGAGCTGGAGGTTCTTTCTCAAGAGAGGCTGTTTTCTTTCTGCTCACTTCCCCCATGATAAATGGGACATTCAAAATACCGGGGAAGCAGCACATTTAACCCTGCTGACAGATATAAGAATGATCATAGCAAAGGGGGATGCGTGGGTGGATAGAAATAAAAACAGCCGGCATGGGCTTTAGTAGGTATCTCTGCAATCAGGTAGAAGAAAGTACCACCTTCAAACTGTGAAAATGAGGCTGTGCACAATAGAAATAGAAATAGAAAATCCCAGACTATCTCAGGATGTTCAGCCTTTCCATCCTGAAGCCGTGGAAGACCTGAGTTACCTGTCTGACTGCAGCGGCTGGTGTAGGGCCTGCCTCTCCCAATGCTCTCCAGTCCTTACAGTTGTGAATTCTTACCCAAAWCAGAACTTGAGCATTTTTGTCTACATGAAAAGCTTAAACACCAGATACTTGGAAGCACCAATCCACATGGTATTTGAGGGTTAAAAAAATGAGGAAAACTGAAGCCTGGGAAAACCAGGGGCTTTCCATTCCCGCTGCAATGAAATGACAGATTTAAAGTTCAGAGCGAGAAAAGTCGTTGAAAGGAATTAGGTTTCAAGCTTCCTGAGACATACATGCTTTATTTTTCAAGGCTATTGATGAATCTATCAATCTCCTGATTACCACCCTTCAGACCCCCCCCCCCCAAAAAAAAAAACTCTCTACAAAAGAAATCTGCAGCCTTAATTGAGAGGAAAAGGGTTTAAAGAATATCCACTGTAAGGTCTCTCTTCAGAAGGAAAGTCCCTGGAGGCAAAACAATAATTGGTTTTGACCTTCCGCAGTTAAGGAGGCATTGGTAAAGACTAGACTTAAACACAGCCTGACAACTGTGAGTTCCAATCAAATTCAAAAAGAGACGGAAATTGGATAAGCAAATTCCTTTTTGTTCATGACCCCGGTCCCGCTTTCCTTTCCCCTGCAGCATGACACATCAGAATCTTTCCTGTGCACCATAAATCACTGGCAAGACAGCAGTAGCCTTTGAATAGCTGTCTTATATTTCGTTCCTATCTTCCAGACAAGTGGTATTAGCAGTCCCCTGTCTGCTCTGGAACAGCAAAAACACAAAATGCAGGGGAAAGGCAGCTCCAGCGAGGAAGCCGTGTATTTCACTGCTGTTTTCAGCACAATATAAATTCCCTGTCTCAAAACTTGGAAGGACTCTTCACGTCAGCCCTAGCAGCCACTTGCCAACGTAACGAAAGTTATTTGTTAATGCAGAAATTCACAGTCCTCRTTTTGTTAGATGCTGCGGCCGGCCAAACACTTTGCTTGTCTTAAACCCGGGCTTGTCAAAGACACTCTAYGCCAGCACTGCTCAGGGAAACGTAACGGTTTCTGCATTATATTCCTCACGGCAAGTGCATCTCAGCCAGTGTCCATGGGAACTCCTGGCAGCAGCTGGAGGCACCTCCATGCTTCCCACTGCTTGTGCCCTGTCGATATTCACCACTGCTGCTCAGCAGAGCCGCGCTGGCTCCCTGCCACGCTGCCTGCCAAGGCCCACTCAGGCTCCCCTGCGATTTGCTACCTACCAAATCTGCTCTTTGTAGGTAAATCAGAAATCCCAAAGCTCGTTGWGTTTCTTTTTCAAGGAAATCTTAATAATGCTTCAGAGGCCCAGAGAAGTTTTGTTTATAAAACCCCTGAATGCAAGCTTAAACTTGAATGCYTTTATCCTTAAAAAAAAAGTTTTCGATTTTCTGCCAGAAAAGAAAAGCAGGAAAGACTCCCAACACTGACACCATATACCAAATCATGCATGAATTAATGGTGAATTTTTCCACCTTAAATGGCCAGCTACTTTGGGATGGTGACCACTGAAATCCAACTCATGTAATTTGCAGATATGACTCACAAGAGTCGGAGGTCCAAGAGCAATAACAGCACCACTTGGAGAGGTATCAAGCCTTTGGAAACAAAAAAATGGTTATTTTTAGGGTCTGATGAGAGTGAGGTGAAAGTGCAAGTGGTGTAAAATAAGTTAAGTGTGAAGCCCATCTATTTGCTCAAGGTTGATAGGCTTCACTTTCCCCTTGAAGGGAGCTGAAAGCTGGGACTGGCCCCACACAGATAGAGTTACAGGGGTTAGCAGCAGTGGTCCTGTCCCAAAATATTAGCTCCATATGCTTTGACCCGTCTTCAGGTTCTGGAAAAGGCTGCTTCTTGCACGTATGAACCTAACCTGGTTGTCAGGCCTTTTTCAGCCCTTTAGGCGTCATGGTGGCTGATTCCTGCGTTGCTGGCAAGGACATTTCTCCTCAGTCCCAGGAGAGCTCCCTTCATGTTTTAGGCCAAAAAAAAGCCCAAAGAAACAAGGTGACATTTGGTGTCCGACAGCAAAGCAGAATACCCTGGCGCTATCCAGGCCAAGCTGCAGCTGCTGCACCCTACATGCTCTCTGAAACCAAATCTAGACCCAGCAAGTAGCAAGCAATTAGTATCCAAAGCACAACCACCACTGATCTTGGAAAGACCAGATTTGGAACAGATTCACAAATCTCTGTTCCCAACCACCAGCCCTACCTGCACTGTCTCATTCCTTGAATGCAATTCTCAAACATGTGCCTATTTCTTCTATCTGGTAAKGCCAAACATGTGTCTATTTATTCTATCTGGTGAGCTCCAAATCTGGGAAAAGTAGTAATGTGYCTGTTTAAAAGAACCTGAAGAATTCCCTTTAATTTGTGGAAATCCAGAAATKTATGGCTTTCCTCTCGCTCTGCATTTCTCCTGTGCACTGCTCCCAGTCTTCCTCTCCCAACCACTGCCCTTCAAAGGACTACGGATTCCTACCAGGAGGCACAAACTGAAAGGAGAATGAATCCTTGTGTGTGACAGTGTTCAAACTGCATGTAGGCAATGGGAATTAATAAAACTGGAACAGGCTCAGCCCTGGAACTTTATGTAGGACAATACGTACCTCCGAGCTGGGCCATGTGCCTTGCACGTCCTTGCTGAAGCGCCAGCTTCGCCCTGAGGAAAGCTGACACTTACAGGGGAGCTGCTACGTACTATAGTGGTGCTGAGGTCTCTGCAAAAAGGCAAGAAGGCAGGTTAGCTGGGAGCATATCAGAAATCTATAAATAATGTTCTATAAATGACGTTCCATAAAGATCTAAAAATACCAAGAGGGCAGTYTGTTGGTTGTTGGGCTTTTTTAATGTTATTTTACTTATTTAGAGGCCCTACTGAACAGAAATGGGAATGTTAGAGACAAATAAGAAAAGAAAAAAGTCTTCTAATATTCAAACTGYGAGATGCTCTGTATTTTTAATGTCCCTGGAAATCAAAGGTGCTACGCAGCCTTCACAGTAGCACAGTCAGTCCTAAAGTTGTTACCAGAAAAGAAACACCATTCACAATTGCCATTAGACACTTGCTAAGTGCGTCAAAAAGACGATTCTTGCTCCCAAGAATTTACTATCTAAGAAACCAGGAACTCTTGCTTTTTTATTTGTCCCTGCTTCTTGCTATTAATTTTTAAAGTATATAACCCTCAGTACTGAAGCAACAGGCTTCAACCATAGATCTCAAAATAATTCAATTAAAATTTGGAGACGAAACCTCGGCACTCTGAGCGCTCTGCTCAAAGCCCAGGGCAGCGGCAGCAGCAGAAAGAGGAGCCGTGTCTCTGCCGTCAGCAGCAGGGCCGCAGTGACTTTTCAAGCTTCTCCTATTTTCAACACCATGGGTTGCGAGAGGGGGACGGCGGAGGTGACATTAGGRCAGGAAATGAGCCAACGCAAGTGTCTTGAGAGAGTATTACTTCCTAACAGGGGAGTGGGGCAGCATTTGCTAGCACGAGCTGTTAGGAAGGGCTCTGGAGATTTCTGTCAAAAAGGTCGGATAAGGACAATTTCCACACAGGGCTTTTGCGTGAGGCCTCAGTGGAGAGTCCCCCGGCGYGCTGCCGTCTCCGTGCCACCCCAAGGTGTAAGATCTCCTGAGATTCCCRGCGTGGCCAGGCCAGGAAAGGGGCCATCGCGCTGAGGTGACAGCCAATCTGCAGAGCGATCCCCCAGCACAGCGTTGGCCACTTACTGCCGAGGGCACTTTGCACTCCACATCCTTTCAAGTCACCACACTTATTTTGGGGGAGTCAAGAGAGTGAATGCTCTCTTGACTCCCCCAAAATGCAGATGTTTTCAAGCTCACCAGGACGGAATCTGCCCTGCTTTGGGTGATCCCGCCGCCCAATTTTCCTGCGGCCGCCGAGGGGAGCAAGGGAGCTCTCCCCTGCCCAGACACCCATGCCATGAGAATGACACACCGCCAGTCACACTGTTCACACCAACTGTGGCAGTAAACTTTATTTCAACTTTGACATTTCGTTCCTGCACAGTGACTCATGACTGGCTATGATGCTCCGTTTAGGGATGCAAGGCTCAAACGCCAACAAATAAGCAAGCAAGCTATAGGGATCAGAAAGGGGCATTTGCTCAGGCAGACGCAGGCCGTCATTGCTGCATGCTGTGGGGAGGACACGACAGACAAGGACAAGGGACAAGTTGCAGTTGCCACGTACTTTTACAGAGACTAACAAGTTATATTAGCCCTTTGCTACCAGGGGTACTTTTTTCCAGGAGAAACTTGGGCAAGCAATGAAAAGCTGCATCGCTTCTAACCAGGTGTGAGCGGGTGAGACATCACCAGGAGAAGTGACAGGTGACAGCAGCAAACACGCTGTGATTCAGATGGGATCTATGAAACTGGATGGCTGTCGTCGTCCCCAGTCGTCGTCATCYGGTGCGAGGGCGAAGCCAGGACGTCAGACGCTCCGCTGCTCACCCAGACACAACAGATTTCCCTCCGCCCGCCCCTTCTAAATTTACTAACTGTTCTGGATCTATTTATGTAGCTGGGGCTCGGAGAGCATTAGGGAAAAATAATATTTCTTAAAATCCTAAATTAACTGCCTGTGTCTGGGTTTCTAGAATTGCTGTGTAGGTATCGATTAGGATATAGGGAACCATGAACCCCCATTTACAGGTGAAGCTGTTTCCCAAGGTGAAAACCAGCTCAGAGGCTTCACAAAGCTGTGACTGGTGTCAAGCAGAAGAGCCTTCTTAGCCCTGGCTACCCCAGGATGGCTTCACCAGCCCAGAGGGCCTACACGTGCATAGTTTCCACCTACAAGTATAGAGCACATTACCAAAACTATATGAGAAAACCAGTAAACAGCTAAATGTGTTCACATACGTATCTGCTGACTGGAAAAAGTCCAGGTTAACCTACTCAGAAACCAAACTCCTTTCCCTCATCTTGCACCACAGAATTATTTATTTGCCTAAAGGCACTTTGAGGCAATTGGTATATTTGAGGGTTGCTATTAAGACTGCTATTGATAGCGGTGTGGGGAAGAAAATTGCAGTGGAACGTCAGTAATCTCAGCATTTTTGGACTAGAACAGTGCCCAGATTAATGAACATTGATGCTATTTCAAGGTTGTGCTTGCTAATGTTAGTATAATAATATTACTCAGACATACCAGAATGCAGGGTTTTTTTTTTAATGTCAAAGTTTTGATTTAAGACAACACGTAGCCATGGCAGCAGGAGTAGCACTGGTAACAGGTTACTACTGTTCAGCTGGCCAAGTCATTTGGATGAACGAGTTTTGGAATACAGAGTTTTCACTCCATTTGATTAATTTGTCTTAAGAGCTCTTGGTCTTACTTCAAACCACCCAACCATTAACGTCTCATATGAGACAATGTGTCTAACCTGAGATTTGCAAGAGAATTTTTGAAAGTGCCTGTTTAGGTGGTACGAGARCTTATTGGTTTGAGGATGAATTTATGACGCAAAAGGCATTAAAAATGTTACTCTCCAGGATCTGAGTACTTGCCATCAAATGCAGCCAAACATAACTTATGTTAGTACGTCAAAATTATCTGAGTGATGACTATATTCCTTATTCTAATTTCTAGACGATGTCTTTTTGATTGATGTCTTTTTGTGCTTTCCCTCTTTTTCTAATCTCTAAAAAGTCTCTTTTTTGTGCTCTATGTATATAGTTTGCAAAGGTTAAATCCAAGCATTTGATGTAAGGAACAAAACCAAATTATACATACCAGTGCAAGTCTAGGTACTAAAAGAGGGTTGGGAACAACACTATTCAAGTGATGCTTATGCCAAGTTATATGCTATGAGCTTCAGTTAGACCATCATGGCAGAGGTCATGCTAGTGCTTCCACTATAAATTGAAAATGGGGCTTTTAAATGAACCATAAAGTGAAGCAAAAGCTTTGATAGGCAATATCTGTTTGAGCACACTGAGTTGTATCAGGAAAAAGCTAAATTTTAGCACTTAAGGAGCATGTAAAAAAGAAGTTGCTGATTCAAGCTGGATTTTTCACATTTGCATGAGGAGGATTGGGAGAAATGACGTGTGGTGGAAAGGTCCTGTTCACCCATTAGACCTCTGCTCACATATCTAACCCTCAGTGGAGTCAACCTGGTGTGGGAGTGAACATGCTGTGGTCAGGATTTACAGAGGAAAGGGGCGACAGGCTCATGAGCATTAGCTCTCTCCTTCTTCCCAGATCCTGTCTATAGCTCCACTTTGTTCAGCAGTCAAGCTGAGTAGTGCAGGAGGACGGGACAGTACTGATCTGAACGTATTTCTTTGTTTGTTCTTGTGGGATGAAGTGCTGAGCTGGAATATGTTGACCATATCTAAACTATCTTTTAGACCTGTGGTGGAATAAAGGCTCCAGCTACACGCAACCAAGTGGCGGGACCTCATTGCACCTGTACTTCAGGACAGGCTTGTGTGGGAGGTGGTCCTCTCCTTCTATTAAGCACCTCTGCCTGGAGGCTAGCTGGCCAGCTGAGTTATGACTAGACACAGCACAAACAGGAGAGACTGAGGAGCCGTCACACATATTTTTCCATCCAGCAAAGTCTCTGGAGAAGCCTCAGGCATTTGATATCATATAAATGTCATAAAGAACCCTGAGCTCACTGCAAGACACCGATTTGACAACCCACAACTATGAATTTCCAGGGGCAATTAGAACATGAAGATATACTGCTTTTAACTGAACCATAACTGAGATTTTAAAGAGGCTTAATACGTGGTACACAAGCTATTACATAAGATTCCACTTCTAAATGGAGAAAAAGCAACTCTGCCAAAGCCTTTGTGTTATCAGCAGTCAGGGCTTGACTTTCTGATGGTGACCACCATAGCCAGATCATATACTGCTCTTTCAGAGATTGCATTATYCAATCTCCATTATATTTATTTGCTACCTACCAATAGTTATTAAATAAATAATTATCTGGTAGGCTGGCACCTTCCCAGGCATATAACAATAACACCAGATGTTAAAGAAAACAACCTACCTTCGTATTTGACTCAAAGTTCAGAATGACTGTCTGGTACATAACATGCAGGACTGGGCAGGTTTCTTTAGAGGCAAATGTGCAATCTGGGCGAGTGGAAGACCGTGACTCAAATAAATAAACACTTTTGGGGAAGCAAAAAGCTAACATAAAGAAAAGCAGTAAACAAGAATAACAAGAGAACAATACCAAGGAAATCACAAGCATCTTAAGGAACTTATTGCCTGCTCATTTACACAGTCTCAGTTATCTTTCACTATTACACACACATCTTGGTAACACAGAAAAGTAAAATGACTTTCAAACACAGCAGTCTGCTATCAGTAAAACAGTTAAAAGTAGATCTCAAACATAACAGAAAGCATCTCACTGAACAGTCCTCCAGTTTAACAGGTGGCTTTTTTGTTTGTAGAAACACATTTATAATAATTTGTGAGACATGAAGTCCTTGGGGTTTCCTGCACTATTAAATAAATATGAATTCCTTCGCAAATGCTGGGGTAAGTGAAGAGGAATAGATTTCTTTCTATATGGATTTTTATATTATACTTCACTGTCCAGCTGACCTCTGGTAGTCCCTTAGAAGTGAACTCTTACATTTCCC